CGCACGGAGGCCCCCTACAGGCCCAGGGGTGCAGAGCAAGCAGGGCCACTGCCCCCAGCCACAGAGCCAGCAAAGGGCAGCTGCGCGCGCCTCACGCGCCTGCTAAGAGGAGCATTGACTAACCAGGCGCTCCTGCCCCGCGGAAGCCACCTGCCGCCCGTGCACCTGCCGCACTGAGCAGGGCACAGAGAGAAGAACCCGCGGCCACGAGAAAACCCGGAGCAGCTGCTTGCCAGGAACTGTTTTCCCTGAAAGAAGGGGAGTCTCGAGATTAGTTATATTATTTTAAATTAATTATTTTATAATCTTCTGCTATAAAATTTCACAGCATTGGAAATGCCCAGAAAAAGAATGAAGAACTCAGCCGGCGTGGCTCAGTGGTTGAGCGGTGGCCTATGAACCAGGAGGTCACAGTTGGATTCCTGGTCAGGGCACGTGCCTGGGTTGCAGGCTCAATTGGGGGAGGGGGGATGTGCACGAGGCAGCCGGTCAATGATTCTCTCATCGTTGATGTTTCTAGCCATCTCCCTCTCTCTTACTCTCTGAAATTAGTGAAAATATATTTTTAAAAAGAAAGAAAAGAATGAAAAATTGCTTGAGTTTCACCATCAAAGACGAGTGCTGACTTCAGCCCTCTTGTCTGTGCAGCGATGCGTGCAGGACTTGGCCCCGTGGGGCAGTTCCACCGCTGTTTCCTCAGGGCAGCGAGGACTGGGCCAGGGCCCCCTGGGCACGAGCTGCAGGTCACATTGCCCGGGGTCCCGGGGTCTGACTGCTTGGGAGAGGGGCCGCATCCTTGTGCTCTCTGACACTTAGATTATCAGACTCACGTGAGAATCACTGGTGTTCCTTCTTCAACCGAATTTGACGCCCCTTGAGGCTGGAATGTTTACTCAGAGGGCTTGGGAGCCGGCCCTGCGGGAGGGCCGCCCGCCTTCGCTGCCTGCTGCAGCGCCGGGCACAGGACACAGACGCGGGATGAGGCCTGCTGTGCTCGCGCTGCCTGCAGGTCAGGAGCGGGTTCTGCTGAGTTTGTTCCGTGAACATGGCTGTGGACATGTTTGGTGAGTTGTATACTCAGACGACGTGCTGCTTAAATGTGGAGTCTAGTCACACTCCTGTTGTTCAAATACGACTTCACTCCGCATGTCTCTTCCTGCACTGAATTTGTATAAATAAAAACGTTTACCTACGTACACCTAAGGAGTCTATAATTTGAAGAAATGATGGAAAGTATTGTTTTAAAAATGGAATCTATTTGAAAAGCCAATTCATGCTCAAACTCATTTTATAGATTCCAGGCTTGTGTGGCTGCGCACGAGCCGACACTCTGCCCCAGGAGAGGCCGGTCTGGGACCCAAGACAGTCGCTGGGACTGGCATTGAGAGGTGACACCCACAGGAGGCCCAAGGCCTGCAGCAGGCTCCGCCCAGCAGAGTGGCCGGCAGGCCCTGCACATCTGTCCGTTGGGAACGAGTCTATTAGTGTGAGGTCCACGCATGAGGGTGTCAACAAAAGGGCGCCCCACAAGCGAGCAGGAGTCCTCGCTCTGGGAGCCAGGAACCACGGGACGCAGCCTCTGGTGGAGATGGCAAGGCGCTCCTTCCAGAGAAAGTTCCCACCTTCCTTGCTGATTAGTCCAATTTTATGCAAATGAAGATTCCAAATTTGCACAGTTTGGACCAAATGACACAGTCCTGATTGGTTGGAATCATGATGGAACTGCTTAGATTGGTCAGTAAAAATGCAAATGAAGATACAGCTGTGTGGTGTGATTGGTCAGGGTAGGTCTCAGCCCATCCCTCACAAGGCCGCTGGGCGGGCAGGAGCCAGGCAGGAGGCGGCAGCTCCGCCAGCACTGGCGGCAGTGCAGTGTGAGAGGCCCGGTGAGGAATGGCTATCAGACTCTGGTTATGAGTTTGGGCCCAATTAACCACAAGGAGTCCCTCTTGGAAGGTATATTTCTTCTCAGGGTCAACAAGGGCAGCCCAGAGAACAACCACACATTTTCCCCCGGGAAACACCCCAAAGTTGGCGATATGAAGACACATGGACCCCAGGCGTTCTGCTGGGTGAGCGGCGATCGCCCTGGCCTGCACCTCCTGGTGACTCTGTGCAGGTAGGAATCGTGCAGCCCGTGAAGAGCCCCGGCGGTAACGGCAGTGGGACGGTGGCTGGAAGAGCACAGGCCACGGACTCAGGCTCCGTGGGTTCAAATACCGTCTCACGCTTACTAACCACCTGGCCTTGCACTGCTGCTTCCCTGCTCTGGCCTCTGTCTGCTCCTCTGCAAAGTAGGGTGAGTGACAAGAGCACCCACCTCACCCGGCCGCGGCGGGGCTTACATACGCTCGGATATGTAAGTGGCCCGCGAACTTTTTGGTCTTTGTTTTACACTCTTAAGTAAATGTATTGAGAATACCAAGGAGCTTCTATTTATGCGGGCTATGTCTATCAATATTTACTATACTGAAAATTAAAACAAAACATTTTAAATTATTTATTAATTCATTTAAAAATCAATAAGAAAAGTATTACATATTACCATAATGCTATATCATTATGGAAACTAACTCCATTTTCCAGAACAGGAAAAACATTCCTCAAACATCTGTACCCAGCCAAGATGAAGTAGCAGGAACCAGACAAAATACATGAAATGTTTTCAAGATACTGAATGTCAGACAACGACGGACTGTGATCCTTCAAAGACAGGAAGTGAACAGGTGACGCCTGTCTGCCCAGCCTTCGCCCAGAGAAGAGTCCCAGGGGCTGAGTAAGCGCCTGCATTAAAACGATGAAGCTAGAGTCGGGGAGACCTGGGCCGCTGGGCGTGGCAGGACTGGAGCCGGGAAGGAGAAGGTGCCTGGAGAGAATCAGAGGTCCCCAGAGGTCCCCTCGGTAGTCAAATGAGTGCTCCTGAGCGCGCTGTGAGGACATTGCTCCAGGCCAGAGAGAACCACCTGGGAGAAAGTGAGGGGCAGCCCTGGCGCTCACACCTGGCAGGGGGACACCTGTGTCCAGCCGCCAGGCAGGCCACCCAGGAGGGAAGAACAGAAACTGCCCAAACTTAACACGGAGAGGTGGCCGGGAGACGGAGAGCTCAGGGACCGGGCCGTTGCCAAAAGTGATGGAACTGACGCTGGAGACTGGCTATGCCAGGTGCAGGGCTTTTGAGTCAGATATAAAAAGTCTGTACAGAGAGGCGCACCGAGTACACAGACAACCAATGGATTCTAAACGCACGTTCAGCGGTTACTTGGGGAGGCAGGACAAAAAGGAGTTATCTACCGACACACACAACAGACGACACATCACAAGGGCATTGTGCTGAGTGAAGAGTGCCAGTCTCCCGTACACACTGCATGACTCCATTCACACAACGCCCTTAAAGTAACACAGTTACAGGGATGGAAACAGACTAGGAGTGGTCGCCAGGGGTCGGGCATGGTTGGGGCAGTTGAGTTTTTGGATCCTTAACATGGGTTGTCTTTCCACATATTTAGATTTTCTTTCATTTCATTGAACAATGTTTTGTGATTTATGTCGCACCTTTTTAGATAGTTTATTCCTAAGTATTTTAGTCTTTTTGATGTGATTGTAAATGGAATTATTTTTTTCAGTTTTCATTGCTAATGTATAGAAACACAGCTCGCCCTCAACAGCACGGGTCTGAGTTGTGCAAGTCTACTCATATGCATATTTTTTCAATAAATATATTGGGGGAAATTTTGGAGAATTCTGACAATTTGAAAAAACTTACAAACTGTGTAGCCTAGAAATATAGTTTAAGAAACAGTTAGGTATGCAATGAATATATAAAGTATATGCAGGCACTGCCTCTTCTATCACTGACTGCCAACGCAAATGGGGAAAGAAAAAAAACGATATAGAAGCCCTTTTAGAGACACGACAAGGACAAAGTGCCAGCATCATGACAATGTATTTCCGTAAGTCAAGGCTGCCCTGCCTCTCACCTGCTCTGGGGA